AACTGAAGGTTCAATTGGGTTTTAACTATTAAGACATACGTTAAATGTTGATAGTGGGAGTTAGCATATTATTTTAAGGTTTAGATTACGTCAGGTAGGGGGAGAGTTAAGTGTTAGGTCACGGGTGTCAAACTGGCGGCCCTCCAGCTGTTGCCAAACTACAAGTCCCATGAGGCATTGCAAGATTGACAGTTACAAGCATGACTCCGAAAGGCAGAGGCATGATGAGACTTGTAGTTTTGCAACAGCTGGAGGGCCGCCACTTTGACACTCTTGTGTTAGGGGATTCTCTAGTGTTAGGGACTGTTTACAAGAAATGGTCAGTTATTGGAGGTGCAGACATTTACACATATTCTCAGGACTGAAAAATACCAGCACCAATCTGTCAGCAACATAAACTAACATATCAATTTTTCTTAAAGCTCTACCCAGGTAATTATGAGGCACCTAGCTCACTTTCTCCCTTACATTACCAGCATAGCACTTACTGGTAGAATGACATCAGATTTCATAGGGTATACTGAGGCAAGGTGACAGCCAAAATGGCAGAAATTACAGTTTACCAGCTTTGCCTCAGTATATCTGCAATTGCTGCCATACCGTGGTAGTGGTTTGCTTATAGGCATACAATTCCAAAGGAGTGCGGTATATTTTACTACCACTGTGTGTACCGAATTGCAAGAGCAAGGACCCAGGTTCTATACTGGAACCTGCTTACATGACAGTCACAAACAACATGGCATGTTGCTGTCCACCACTGTGGTGACTACGCAGCCCTAGCCTACAGGTGGCCTAAGATCACATGCAGCTCTGGTTATTTATTTTGCAACATTGATATATCCATAGCTGGCCATCATTAAGATGTCAGTTTCTAATACAGTATAGTAAATGAACACTATAATCTACTTGGCTTCTACAGACTGCAGCAATTTTTCCTTCACCATAAACCTCCCAAACGAATGCCATTAGTGCCTTCATTGGTATCTCTGGTTAAATGCGAATTTAGTAGTCCACACCAACTCTAATTATAATCTGCTCCATGTACCTGCCTATGCTGTATATTATTCAGCACATTAACAAAACAGCCATTGTTCTGGAGAATCATAAAAAATAAAGCGAAAGACATAAATGTGGTCCTCGTGTCTTCCAGAACCATTATACAGTAATTCTATTCAACAGCCGAAGCTTGGAAAGAATATGTATGCCAAGTAATTGAGATGAGGAGTGCGAAGAGAGGTATTTCCTTTGTGACATAAGAAATATTCTACATATTTTATCATTTCAGCACCGCCAATGTCTTTAATTAAAGATTATATCAAATTAAAGATGACAGGACACCTTCAGGGGAAATGCATTTCATTCTCTGCATTTCTGGAGCAAGACACAAAGAACAGATTTTAGGAACAGCTTGTAGTGTGGCACCAAAATCTTATAATTACATAATTAGGAACAGTACACTTCTCTTGAAACACTCCATGGCCATCTTGCTGTATCTATGCATGACTTAAAGTGATCCAGTATATCAACCAGACCTGTCAGGTACCTCATTGCTATTCACCGCATCTGCATTAGCCAGTCTAAGTGTTGCTTTGGTGACACTACTGCCCACACATGTAATAACAAATGGCGCTCGCAGTTTCTTCTCTTGCACAAATTTAAACAATGATGTGACTATTTCTTCTCCTGGTCCCAAACGCAGGGCGTACACTGACAGAGAGCTCGGTCCCCCCTGAGTAAAAGAAGAGAAAAGAGATAATTGTTTATGTGTTTGTCGGAAAGGTATAACTCATGCATATCAAGACAGAAAGTTAAATATGAATGGAAAATGCAATCTAAGTTTGGTTCATGTGAGCAAGATTACATTACATATTTATTTGATTTTAAAGAGGAACTAATGCAAAAAATGCACCTGAGCACTTCTACCCCACCTTGCATAAAAGAAAAAAATTAAAGCTATAGCCTTAAAAGAAGCTTTTTTTTTTAACTGAAATGGAAATACTTTGGGTCTAGCCAGCCACAGCTTCTCTGACATTTCTGGTTCATTCCCCTATGGCTGTCCAGCCCATCAGTACTTTTGCTTCACACCAAACATGTTCTTGGTTGCAGATGAGAATTAGAAGTGTCGGGTCACTCAGATCTAGCTAACTCCAGCAAATTGATTTCAAGGCTCTAATTTTTGTCCTCAAGGGAGAAGAAGACCTAAAGCAAAAATCTTCTTTAAGGGCCAGTTCATACCAGAATGAGCATGTTCCCGTGCAGCAGGTTTTTTGACATTCATTTCAATACGCTGCCAAATGTGCGGGAACGTGCAAAAAGTATGGCAGGCATGACTTTTACCATGTGGTTTGGTGGCTGCAAAATGTGCTCAGTTTGCTAGATGTATTTGGGATGATATTAACAAAAAATGGTTCCCACACAGTTCTAATAGAGGGCAACGTGTTCCTGTGTGGTGCAGGAAATGCAGAAATGTAAGTGGTGTGAACAGGCCCTTAAGGAAGGCTCCACATACTACTTTGTAATTCATCATTAAGAAACACGATCACAAAAAATGTTGTATTCTGGTAACTGAATTGTTAATATACTGTATGTAATGATTATAGTGATTTTATTCATTCATTCTTTCATTTATTCTTTATATTTTTTTCTCCAAATTGTTACAGACTTACAGTTCCTGTCTAGGAAAAGTGACAGTGGTTAGGACAAACTACGACACAGCCTGGGGTGCTTGACCAGTTGCAACAGTAGTTTGAACTAATACAAATATAATATAAACCATGCAAATAAAAAGGTACCTCTGTCAGTATTACAGTTTATAAAAAAATGAGCTTGTTAAGCAACTGGTGTTTTTTCGCAATGCAGGTAAATGAAAATTAAAATGATTTTAAGTAAGTCAAAATATATTTTTTTTAATTTACACATTTCTTAAAGTGGTGTTTGGAACATTTTTATTTTTTATATTGTATAATTTTTTTTATTCTACAAATGAATGTTTAATACCATGGTTTATAGTTTTGCAGAATAGCTTTTTCCATGTAGACTGCCTCTTGTATTGAAATTATACTGCATAAAAATTGAGCTTCAGCTATTTAGCTCTGTAAGCAATAAGCTTTTTTTCAGCAAAGCAGCAAAGGTTAGTCTAGTAGAAAATGAAAAGAAACCTGGAGCTCCACCTGCTGTCTCAAAACAGTAAATATTAAAGCCCAACTCTGGGAAAAAAATGTTATTGTAAATCTTGCACCAGCTATGTAGGAAATAGGTAATATTAGGTGTTCTGTGTCTCCAGTGATGATGTATAGCATTAAAATAATACTAAAAAGCTAGCTCCAGTGGATTTCCAGGTGTTGCGGGCATAAGAGTTGTCAAATGCAAGTGAAGGGCTCCATTCATACTTAGCCTCCCTCCTTACTTCATGGCCATGCAAAAAGCCTTGTTTTTTTCACAGAATTCAAGGTGTTTTGTGACTGTAGGATGAGAATCACGTGCATCCACACTCTTTTTTTCTCATCCACCAATCACAAAGCGCCTTGTATTTTGTGAAAAAAAAACACAAAGCTTTTTGTGGATGGGCATGGAGTGAACCCTTCACTATGGTTAGCCACTGCTCTCACGTCTGCAGCACTGAGAAACTAGAGGAGCCGGCCCGTACTACTATACAGCAGCACCGCACACGCATCATACTTAATATTACCTCTTTCCTACATAGTTGGTGTAGGATTACCACTAAGATTTTTTTTTCTATTCATATGAAAGATATCATATTAGGCATTGTGACAGTGCGGTGATCTGTCCGGATGTAAAAAGGATTTTATGTTACCCAGGATTCTTAACAAGGCAAATTGAGGGGCTCCAGGGTACTTGTTTAAGCTGGAGGAAACTGTGTTTTCAGTTTCCTCGGTCCTTGGTAAAACTCTGTTTGGGATCTGGAGCCCAGAGATTTCACAGTGATCTGAGTAGGAGGAAATCTCCAAACCTGGAAGCAGGGTTTAGGAATAGCCAGGACACACACCTTATGCAGGTGAGATTTGGGCTTTTTGTAGAGACAGGACCAGGGTTCTGGGCTCCACCCTCCCAAGGAGTCCATGTGGGTGTAAGGAGCATCAGGGAAGCTGTGAAAGAGTGCTAATCTATGTACAGTGTTTGTACGCAAATACAGGGGAACTGTTATATGGTCAAAAACCTGAGCAAGTGATGATGCTATAGAGAGCCAAGAGACTAAATCTTTGTTTTGTATGGATAGTGGATATCCCTGTGTGGGCAAACTGTACTGTTGTTGAACTTTTCCTTTTCTCTTTAATAAAAGTGGGCCAACAAACCCTTAATGATCATTTCTGCCACAGACTCTACTCACTGGGAAGTGGTATCCTGAGCTAAACAACCCCCAAATATTACAACATCTTTAGCTGTATTTTATTGTTTCTGTCATGTAACATATAATAAATAAGAAAATACATACAACACTGTATATTACCATTAAAGAACTATTCCATAAAAAAATAAATCACATACACTATTGATGGCATGTGTTAAAGTTAGGTTACCCTAATACTATATCTGTATATAAACCCTATGTATTTTTTCCATTATGTGTTGCAGCCATATGTCATATTAAGCTAAACAGAATACATTAGCTTCATTTTAGTTTATCTTTTCAGTACTGTAACATAAAAATGAATAAAATACATACAAAACACTAATTAACAATGAAGAACTATTACATAAAAAACATGAACCACATATACAGTACTATCAACGGCATGTGTTAAAGTTAGGTTAACCTAATATTAAATCTGTAGTTTAAACTTTATGTAATGTTTCCTTGATGTCTTGTAGCCTTTCTGATTTGAGCTTCCCAACAGGACTGCAGATTTTTTTTTTTTGCCAGTTAAGAAATGCTCATTCATTTTTATTCTAAATTTCTTTCATTTAATACTTCCAATAGACTGTAGTGGGCACAGCATGTGTATGATTATTACTTTTTTTAATGTGTTATAAACGTGCATGATGGGTATGCACAGGGGCTGACTGACAACTCATGGGGCCCCCGGGCAATAAGGGATCATGGGGCCCCTGTGTTCTTGCCCAAACTCAAAAAAGCCTATGACAAAGGTACCAGGGACATCTCATGGGGCTCCCTACTGAGCCCGGGCCCTCGGGCAGTGCTCGAGTTTCCAAATGGTCAGTCCGCCCCTGGGTATGCATGTTTACAGATGGAGAAGAGGAAAGGGGAAGGGCAGTGATATACCTCTGACATAGACCTCATGTCATGGTACAAAGTTTGGAAGATCATCTCTTGTAGTTTTTGATAAAAGAAAGCAATACCCTATCTTATGTCCCTTTCATATTACCATCCCTATAAGTTTAACACAAACCCCCCCTTTTTTCCCATTACCCCAATATTTACCCTTGGTATAACAATAAAACTAACCCGCTCTATTAGCTCAACACTAACCCTTCATGCAGCTCCAACCCTAACCCTCCCTGTAATCCCTAACACTAACCTTCCCTGTAATCCCTAACACTAACCCTCCCTGTAATCCCTAACACTAATCTTCCTAGCAACCTCAACACTAATCCTCACTGAACACTAATATTTATTTCCTTTGTAACCCTAACACTAGTCTCCCTGTGATTCCCAGCCCTAACACTAACCTTCCCTGTATTTGCAACACCCAGCCTGCCCTGTAAAACCAACCCTAACACCAACCTTCCCTGTAAACCTACGATTCCTTCAAGCTCTGTTCATCTCTACCTTCAGATCATCAAGTTTTAAGTCTGAAACCCTGACAGTCTGATATATCAGGCACAAAGGCAGATATCTGTATAATGTCTGGGCATATATCAAAGGCCGGGCAGTGAACACACAGGGAAACAAATGCAGGCTAAGAAAATAATATCACACTAAACATACGCTGCCTTATAGACTAAGAGAGATTGTATGAACCTTAGCGTGTTTGAAAATAAAGTAATAGATTTAAAATATCCATTCTTTGTCACTAACATTCTAAGACACTAATAATATCCAAGTTGTACATCTAGGAAAGCACTGACCTTAGACACAGCAGTATACTAATCCAACTGTAGAACACTAAAATCCATTCCACCAGATAAAAAACAAGAAAAATTATTTTCTAAAAAACTACATTGAGCCTGAACAGGCTGCCTCTGGCAGATAACTCTAATATCTTATAAGAAATGGCAACCAGGAGCTGGTTGCTGTTTAGTATGTAATTAGATATGCGATAAGAATCAAAATAAATCTATATGAACAGTTTGAAAAATGCTATGCAGATAAGATAAGCTTTTTTAGCATTAAGTTTTCTAGCTGCCCTGAGCTCCAAGCGCTGCCTGTGAGTTACCCTGCTGGGAGACAGGAAGAAGTGTTGACTCATCTTTGCCCTACTGAGATTTTGTATTCTGCCAACTTAATTTCTCTGGATGTCACTACTTTTGTTGGCTGAAGAATCCTATTTTGCTCTTTAGTTGCTAACCTTGGTGCCTAAAATTAAAACTTCACACAAGTAGCAGATTGCCTGGTGAAATGTTAATAGTTAATAATAACACTTTTAGAAATAGAGTCTAAATATATTAAGAAAACACTTTCAGAAATAGAGTATAGTTTTATCACTCTAAAACAGGGGTCTCCAATCTTTTGAAACAAAGGGCCAGTTCACTGCCTTTCAATCTTTAAGGGGGCCGGACTGTGGCCAGTGGGAGTAGAAAATTCCCTGGGCTTGGTTTACTAAATGGGGGTAAAAACAATTTACATAATAGTGTCAGTGAGAAGAATAGTGCCCCATCATTGGAGTCAGTGGGAGGAATAGTGCCCCATCATCAGAGTTAGTGGGAGGAATAGTGCCCCATCATTGATGTCAGTGGGAGGAATAGTGCCCCAATCATTGGTGTCAGTAGGAGGAATAGCGCCCCAATCATTGGTTTAAGTGGGAAGAATAGTGCCCCATCATTGATGTCCATGGGTGGAATAGTGCCCCAATCATTGATGTCAGTGGGTGGAATAGTGCCCCATTGTTGGTGTCAGTGGGGGGAATGGTGTCAGTTGAAGGGATAGTACCTCGTATCACTGGAGTGCCCAAAGAGCCAGATAAAAGCAAGCAAAGGGCCACATCCAGCCTGGGGGCTGCAGTTTGGAGGTCCCTGCTCTAAAATTTAAAGTCTAAATATATTAGGAAAAGAGAAATGTTTGACCCCTATATGGTACATACATTATGAAACACAATGACATCCTGTTTTTTCTGGATGAGAACGTTTTGTGGGTTATACACTCTTGCTATACACAAGCTAATCCTAATCTCCTCAGTCTAAATTAGGGGTCCCCAAACTGTATTCTACAGGCTGGATGTGGCCCTTTGCTTGCCTTTATCCAGCCCTTGGGGCTCTATCCCTTCCACTGATACTAAAGACAAGGCACTAATCCTCCCAGTGACACCAACAATGGGGTACTATTCTTTCCACTAACACCAGAGAGGAGGAATTAATTCTCCCACTGACACCAATAATGGGGCACTATTACTAGCATTACTAGCTCACTAGCATCAGTGATGTAATTTTTTTACTCCTACTTACCACCAAGCCTATGGCATTGTGTACTCCCACTGGCCACAGCCTGGACCCCCTAGAGTTGAAAGGGCAGTAAACTGGCCCTTTGTTTTGAAAGTTTGGGGACCCCTGGTCTAAATAAACCAACCCTATCCAACATGTTACTTCACCATTTTTCATATAGAAACACATCCTGGAAAATATGTGGAGTTGTGCCACTTCCTGTTCACAAAATAATCACTTACTTTGCATGATCTAGTTCATATGAACCTAAAACAACACTCAAATGATATATCTGCATCACACACTGTGCTGTGTTAAGCACTTTGATTGGTCAGGTAGCCTGTGACTGGGCATACGTTCCCCTCCGTTGTTTGAGTATATATCTACTCTTGCTATGCTCTATTCTTAAATGATTTGTTGTCTCTGCAGATTGTCAATCCCCCTTCCCTATCCTGTGCTCCTATATTTCTTTAGTCTTTCACTCTATCTTTTCTTTCCTGTGTTTGTGTATTTGCAGCCTTTCATTTCCCTTTTTCTCTACTCTGTACCTGTGATTTTACGATTTTGCAGCTTCTTACTCCCTCTTACATTTCTGTGTGCCTGTGTCTCTGCAGCTTCTTACTCCTCTTTACCTCTTCTGTGTACCTGTGTCTCTGTAGTCGAATGTTCCGCTTTCCTTTCCTGTCTGCCTGTGTCTCTGTAGTCTCTTATGTCCTCTTATGTCTTCTGTGTGCCTGTGTCTCTGCAGCCTCTTATGTCCTTTTACGTCTTCTGTGTGCCTGTGTCTCTGCAGCCTCTTATGTCCTCTTACGTCTTCTGTGTGCCTGTGTCTCTGCAGCCTCTTATGTCCTCTTATGTCTTCTGTGTGCCTGTGTCTCTGCAGCCTCTTATGTCCTTTTACGTCTTCTGTGTGCCTGTGTCTCTGCAGCCTCTTATGTCCTCTTACGTCTTCTGTGTGCCTGTGTCTCTGCATCCTCTTATGTCCTCTTACGTCTTCTGTGTACCTGTGTCTCTGCAACCTCTTATGTCCTCCTACGTCTTCTGTGTACCTGTGTCTCTGCAACCTCTTATGTCCTCTTATGTCTTCTGTGTGCCTGTGTCTCTGCAGCCTCTTATATCCTCTTACGTCTTCTGTGTGCCTGTGTCTCTGCAGTCCTTCACTCCCCCTTTCCTTTCCTGTGTGTCTGGGTCTTTGCAGCCTCTCACTCCTATTTTCTATGGTTCCTGACACTAATACCATTTTTAAGATATTGTCTTTGGATATTGTGGGCATGCATAGACAGTATGTTTTAAAGATCAATAGTACAAACAATTAGAGTTGCAGCAAGCAAGCAAAGTAAAATATGGGGCCAATTTTGTAAGTTGCACACATACGGCAAATGCCTATAGTTGCAGTTTCCATATAGGTTTGTTAGTGTACTTCTAGATTAGACAGGGCCACTTTGCTGGGTTTTTGGGAGAACTTTTGTATTGTTTTGCACTTAGCGAATATCCCTTTCAACATGTACTGTCCAAGCGTGTTTTGTTGTGCCTGGGCACACATACAGCAAAGGCCTATAGTTGCAGTTTCCATATACTGTAGGTTTGTTAATGTACTTCTTTGTTTTGCAACAGATTAGACAGGGCCTCTTTGCTGTATTCTAGGGTGTGTAGGAGAATTTTTGTATTGTTTTGCACTTAGTGAATATCCCTTTCAATGTGTACTGTCCAAGTATGTTTTGCTGTGTCTGGGCTTCCAATGCAGAAAATACCATAGGGAGTATTGAAGTAACTCCTAGTTAAGTGTTCTAAATTCAATTAATTGATGGCATGCTCATTGATTAGAGTAGGACTGTAGGTTACAGAGGCACCTTGTGTATCTTTCATCTTTTTTTTTTTTTGTACAAGTAATACAAAGATCTTTTTTCAAACGTGAAAATGGTTAGACAAGGGCTATTCCTAACACATACCCAATATGACTACAAGGAAGTTCATGCAACCTTTGACTTAATTTAAAAAAATACCTGTTAAATATATTGAGTGTTACATATAAAGAATGGCATCACGTACACTGCTTAGTATTATTCACTGAATATTAATTAACCATTTATGCTGAGTTTGAACTGGAGTCTAAGCATTACACATTGCACAATTATCCTTTATGCACAGAGATTTAATTTCCATGCACCTGCCACACAGAAAGTGTCAGGTTCCATGTCTAAAACCTCTCAAGCCAAGGTAGAATTAGAAGAGGCTCTATGTAACACTGTCCTATTATACTGGGGTGTTAATGTATTACTCTACACATATTTAATATGGAAAGGAACATATAACAGAGGATATACATAAATATTTGTGTAGGCAGCTGCTAAAATGTATATGTAACCTCCTATGTTAAAGAAAGAAAGAAAGAGATGGGGAAAGAATAAATAATATAGTAAGTAGCAGTGGCGTACTGTCAGGGCTCACAGAGGTCGTAATTGTGACCTGGCTCCTGCTCCAGGGAGGCCCAAGTGGCCTCCCTCACAATACATTTTGTGGCGGGGGGCAATTAGAGGAACCAATCCCCTGTATGCAGCAGCTGAAAGTCAGCGTCTGCTACTCTACTTCTTGCTGCTTTCAGCTGCTGCATACAGGGGATTAGTTCCTCTAATTGCCACCCCACCCTCGCTACACTGATCCCTCTCTCTATGTTCTGTTCGTTTATGTGATGAGGGGGAATGATAAGAGTAGATCAATGATCTCCTTCCTGCTGCATAAACCATCTCCTCCCCAACTTATCCCTTCTAGCCTCCCAGCCCCACATCCTCCCTGCCCCTGCCGCTTTGTGAGCTGATCTTGCCTCTCCCTCCAATTTAGTCTCCGTTGGTCTCTCCTCACCTTCCTCTTCTCCTATTATCCACTGACCTGTCCTCAGTCATGATGGGGCCCGACTAGGGGTACATTCTTTCTACTCAGAGCCGGCTGCCAGAGATTCTAAAACGGAGCAGTAAATTCATTAGGTGGGTTCAGGTGAGAGCAGAGCATGGGGGGATGTGGAGGGGCTGAGAAAATTCTACAGTGCAGGACACTGAGTGGGCTGGGGGGCATCTACACATTGAAGGATACTGAAAATTTCCCGAACTCCCCCTCTACTGGGGAAATCCCATGTGTGGGGGAGTGACAGGAGACAGCATGGGGGGAGGGGGAAGTGTGAGTCCTGGACATGCTTGGACTTGTAGTGTGCAGGCAACAGGGGGACCCCTGTGTATGTCTGCTGCCAGGGCCTCTGTGTGCTCCCTTTTCCCCCACCCACAGTGCTGCCATCTTCACCCCCCCCTTCCCACAGGGGATATGTCAACATAGAGAGTGGGAAAGGGGCCAGTAAATATGTCATTTACTGGCCCCTTCCTTTTCTGAATGGACAGAGTAAGTGATCCTTACCAATCACTGACTCTAATCAGTCATAATTGTGTTTACTATGCTTCCATTCATGAATGAACAAGAAGCTCTGTGCAGAGTTATTCCTGTTCATTTATTCTGTGCAACTGAGGCTGTAGAGAGGGAGATTGAGGGCTGTGTCCTCAATCTTTTTCTGTGTCTCAAAGGTAAAGCATCATAGGTCTGCTGATATCTCACCAGAACCCCCCAATAGAACTGATTATAAAAACAATGTGTAAAAAAGGAAATTGTAAAAAAAATAAAAATGGAAAACAAATTATAAAAAAAGTAAATAACAAAAATAAATAGCTACTGACACCATCCTCTGCCCTACTGACACCATCAACTGCTTTACTGACACCATCCTCTGCTCTACTGACTCCATCCACTGCTCTACTGACTGACACCAGGTTAAAGTTATATATTTACAGTGACATTTATTTTATTATATTTTCCCCTCATTTTCCTTACTATTTAGTTAGGCCTCGCTAATTAATTTCTTTTTTTTTTTTAAGACGCTAAACCCTGGTGATCTTTGATCTCTTTCATGTTCTTCAGGTATATTTCCACCTCTCAAAGATTGCCTACCCCTGCTCCAGGGTATTCAAAAGAATTGGAGAGGTATCTCAAAATGTGAACAGTTTCCACAATATCTTTTAAATTACCCTCTCAATATGTAAATAGCTTTTTATCCACTTGGAGTATCTTGGCGTGCAGTGGAAAAGGTGGGTGGTAGTGGGGGGCCCCAGGTCAACTTTTGCATCGGGACCCCAAGCTTCAAGTTACTCCTCTGGTAAGTAGTAGGTTAGATAGATAAATATATATAGATATATATAGAGATAGATTGATAGATAGATAGATAGATAGATAGATAGATAGATAGATAGATAGATAGATAGATAGATAGATAGATAGATAGATGGATAGATAGCGATCTTATTTTATTGGGCTGCTTTGGCAAAATCTACCCTTTTTTGTGTCATCAGGGGTTGCCTTTAGGCACAATAACAGGTCTAGGATAGACAGCCTACAGAACGGGAAGTCACTGGAATGACCTTATCAGCATACGAGTGCTCGGCCATATTCCAGTCAGCAGAGTGAGTCCTTGACCAGGTTATCTTTCTAAAGTGCCATGGAGATTAGCAAGGTCACTGGCTGCACTATCTGGCAGGTTACTTGAATAATGTTTGGATAAAAACACTGGCAGAACAGAATTTCAAATCTTTTGGCAGGTACAACAATTTCATATATATATTTGATTGTGTGCAGTGAGGAGAATATAAGCTCATATAGACAGTATTTTCTCTCTGATTTCATCTTCTTGTTGTTATTAAAGTGATTGTGCATGCAGTTTGTTTTTAAAAAACAAATAGATGTATACTTATCTGCTCTGTGCAATGGAATTGCACAGAGCAACCTACGAACTTCCTCTTCTCAGGTTCCCCACTGATTCTTCTTGCTCATTCTCTCTGACAAGTGTCCTCAAAGGAAGCAGCTTTCTATGGGGGCATTCATGCAGACTCCAGCTCCCGAGTCTCACTGTTTGTGTCCTGCTTCCGAATCATTGACTTTGACTGACAGCAGCAGGAGCTAATGGCTCTCGCTGCCTCAGGAAATCCTGTAAGACCAGGAAGAGAGGGAAGAGAAGAGATGCAGAAATGAATGGTGCATGATTGAATGAGGGCTCAGGTAAATATAGGGGGAGGCGAGGGGGGATACTACTAACTAAACATTTTGACCTTAACTCAAGGTATATATTAAGGTAAAAAGTGTTTAGGCTTCATAACCTATTTAATATTGCACTGTTATTGACCATATATGGAGGTTGTGGAATTTTCAGACTCTATTTACCTGTGTAAATAGTTATATAGAAGTTTCTCAATAACACCAAGGTTGTGTTTTTGCCAAGTACCTCTGTACTTTTAAAATTGAATATATTGTCATTTTGTCATACTTGTGTTCCATAGGTAGCATAGGCATAATTTTATTCCTACTTACACCCTTTAGCAATTAATGATATCTTATAGTGGTTCTAAAGGTAGAAGGTTTTTTTTTTACCTTAAAGCATTCTCTGCAATAAGGTAAAAAAAAAAACCTTCTGCATGCACAAGGGCCTTCTCATTCGCTCAGAGAAAGTAGCCAATGGCTCCCGCTACTGTCAATCACAGCAAGGGGGGGAGCTCGGGGTAGAGCTAAGCCACGCTCTGTGTTTCAATGGACACACAGAGCAGGGCTAGGGAGCTAGCCCATGGGAATGCCCACATAGCAAGCATCTTGTTATGGGGGCACACAGTGGAGGGGAGGAGCCAGGAGCGCAAGAGGGTGTCCCAAGAAGAGGAGGATCGGGGCTGCTTTGTGAAAAAGCATTGCACAGAGCAGGTAAGTATACCATGTTTGCTATTTTATTAAAAACATTTGAGCATTTAAAATCACTTTAAATACACCAATGTATAATTCATAATTACATTAACACAAAAAATAATATTTTAAATAGTAGATGAGGAGGAGAAGGAGTGATAAGTGAAATTGCTTGAATAGGAAGAATACTGTAACACCATCAACAGCCTACTTCTGTTGTTCCTGTGTTGCTGTTTAATACAGGAATGTATTGTATTGTGTGATTGAGATATATATATACATATATGTATATATATTGTGACAGTGTTGTTATCTGTTATGATGTTAAAAGGATATTTTGCCCAGAATTCTTAACAAGGCAGGTTGAGGGGTTCCAGGGTGTTTGTTTAAGTTTGGAGGAAACTGTGTTTTCAGTTTCCTCGGTTCTTTGCAAAACTCTGTTTGGGACCTGGAGCCTGGAGATTTCACAGTGATCTGGGTGGTGGGAGAAAATGTCCAATCCTGGGACCAGGTTTTGGGAATGGCCAAGATTTTGATTGTGCAGGTGTGTGTGGGTCTCTTCTAGTGTCAGGACCAGGGTTCTGGGCTCCACCCTCCCGAGGAGTCCATGTGGGTGCAAGGGAGCAGCCACAAGTGTGCATGGTGGCATGGTGTAGTCTGGCAGAGCAGACAGGGGGCCAGCCTCTGGGCTGGAGAAGCAGGAATGCTGTGAAAGAGCGCTAACCAAGGTACAGCATTTGTATGTGAATGGTCAAGAGGACCGAGGCATAAACCCTGAGCAGCGGTGCTGCTAAAGAGAGCCAGGAGGCTGGATCTTTTTTTTTTTGCATTGATGGTGGATACCCCTGAATGGGAAACCTACATTGTATGGACTTTTTTTTTTCTGTAATAAAAGTGGGCCAACAAGCCTTAAAACAATAATTTCTGGCGTGGACTCTACTCACTGGTAAGCGCCATCCTGAACTAAATAACCCCCAAATATTACTATATATATATATATATATATATACACTATATTACCAAAGGTATTGGGACACTCCTCCAAATCATTGGATTCAGGTGTTCCAATCAACTCCATGGCCACAGGTGTATGAAATCAAGCACCTAGGCATGCAGACTGCTTCTACAAACATTTGTGAAAGAATGTGTCACTCACAGGAGCTCAGTGACTCCAAGCGTGGTACTGTGATAGGTTGTCACCTGTGCAGTAAGTCCATCCGGGAAATTTCCTTTCTACTAAATATTCCATGGTCAACTGTTAGTGGTATTATAACAAAGTGGAAGCAACTGGGGACAACAGCAACTCAGCCACAAAGTGGTAGGCCACAAAAAAAAATGACAGAGCGGGGTCAGCTCATGCTGCAGAAGTTGCCAACTATCTGCAGAGTCAATAGCTAAAGACCTCCAAACTTTGTGTGGCCTTCAGATTAGCACAACAGTCCATAGAGAGCTTCATTGAATGGGTTTCCATGGCCAAGCAGCTGCATCCAAGCCTTACATCACCAAGTGCAATGCAAAGCATCGGATGCAGTGGTGTAAAGCACGCCTACAGATGTGTTCTCTGGAGTGATGAATTACACTTCTCTGTCTGGCAATCTGATGGACGTGTCTGGGTTTGGTGGTTGCCAGGAGAACGGTACTTGCCTGACTGCATTGTGTCAAGTGTAAAGTTTTGCGGAAGGGCGATAATGGTGTGGGGTTGTTTTTCAGGGGTTGGGTTTTGTCCCTTAGTTCCAGTGAAAGGAGCTCTTAAGATGTCAGCATACCAAGACATTTTGGACAATTTCATGCTCCCAACTTTGCGGGAACAGTTTGGGGATGGCACATTCCTGTTCCAACATGCCTGCGCACCAGTGCACAAAGCAAGGTCCATAAAAAACATAGATGAGTGAGGTTGGGGTGGAGGAACTTGACTGGCCTGCACAGAGTCCTGACCTCAACCCAATAGAACACCTTTGGGATGAATTATAGCGGAGACTGCAAGCCAGGCCTTCTCATCCGACATCAGTGCCTGGCCTCACAAATGCACTTCTTGAAGAATGATCAAACATTCCCATAGGCACACTCCTAAACCTTGTGGACAGCCTTCCCAGAAGAGATGAACCTGTTATAACTGCAAAAGGTGGGCCAGCTTAGTATTGGACCCTACGGACTAAGACTGGGATGCAATTAAAGTTCATGTGCATGTAAAGGCAGGCATCCCAATACTTTTGGCAATATAGTGTGTATATATATATATATATATATATATATATATATATATATATATATATATTATTTATTTCAGGTACTTATATAGCGCCGTCAATTTACGCAGCGCTTTACACATATATATGTACATTCACATCAGTCCCTAACCCTCAAGGGCTGTACAATCTAAGGTCCCTAACTTACATTCATACACATATTAGACAGGATCCAATTAACCTACCAGCACATCTTTGGAGTGTGGGAGGAAACTGTAGTACCCGGAGGAAACCCATGCAGGCACAGGGAGAACATGCAAACTCCAGGCACGTGGTGCCGTGGCTGGGATAGATAGATATATATATATATATATATATATATATATATATGTGCATTGTATAATTTCATCATCAATAACTGATGTTTTCCATGACAGCTTAGATAGATAGGGAAATAATTTGTTTCCCTGTGAATTGAGGACATGTACTATTTGTTACAATGGATAAAACAGAGCAGAATAGGTAATAAAATGCATCCAAAGCATCTGCTAATTTACAACCTATTTATCCATTCCACGTACAAGTGCCATTTGTTTTACAATATTTAACTAAATAGATAGTTGTTGTCCCTTCCATCCCTCACTCTGTCTGTAGCTGCTGCCCAACTCACCCTTGTTGTTAGCAATCCATAGCTAAATTAGATACACTGAATATGTTTCTAATGGGATTTGTTCTAAATGAAAGCTCAAAGTCTATAGCCTTTTGTGACATTTAGTAGCATACATAGAGCCTCATGAGGGGCCTTAATTGTTCTTCCCTGACAAAGTACACCAACAGAATGACAGACATTATTCACACAGCTTTTAGGTGGGAAATCATATAAATGAGGATATTTCATGGCCATGCAAAGGCACAGTAAATGTGCACTGTACAGCATTACATATCCTAACTGATAACACTTTAATACTCTACCATAAAAGTCAACTTTAGTTTATTGAAGCAAAGCGATGCACCAACAATCCACCAGATGCCAATCCAGCACTGGCACATTTCACTCCTCACAGGAGTTTAATCATAGAATAAGAGTACATGGAGAGATAATCCATATATCCAAATCTAAGTGCTGCAACAGTTTCTTTATCTCAATGAGCAACATACAAATATAACATAAAAAAATAAAGTAAATAGACAGTGCAGTGAAGAGTGCAGAAAAAGTTGTGTCCAAGTAATAAGCCTGAATTATATTAAAACACTTTTGCATGTTTGTCAAAAAAATTATGTCTAACACTACTGCAATGGTACAATCACAAAGAATGTGAAAAACTCACATCCAATGCAACTATCTCTGCACTAAACCAATAAGAACATGTGTACAAAAATGCCTTATATCATAAAATTATTCAATCAGCTCATCAATAACAATTAAATAAAAATTTAAACATGCTATTTATTACCAATTCACTAAAAACAATTATCAAAGATTATCTTCAAAAGCCAAGGAGTTGGACAAAAAACTCATAATACTCACTAATCAAAGTTTTTAAAAAAAAAAAATTTTTTTACTTACTTTTTATTCCTTTTTATTATACATCCCTGAACACAAGAGAAGGGTGGGAACATAAAAAAAAAATCATTTATCCATAATGATTGGTAGGTTGTCAATAGACCCAAAATAAAGGTTGTAAAATATTATAACTGAACAGCGGTCAAGTAAACAAGTTTATATACAGTACAGGTACTCCTGATGTCACCCTTATCTCAGAGGCAAAACGATGATTGACTGCAAAAATCCAACTTAGATGATCAAGATGTGTTGTCACAAACTCATTAGTATCTACCACAAATCCAGGGATTTCCAGCAATGATCACATAGCTTTACTGTTAACATACAATATCAATAATAAAAGAGCATTAACAAGTGCATGGGGACAATTAACTTTGCAGTGTCCATCTCAGAAATCTCAAAGTAAAGGTACCTATAGACAGTGGATGACAACCAAATTGGGAGACAGCCTAGTAGACACCACAAGACACCACAAGTCATAGCTTATATGGGTGTTTTGCCTCACCTATTACAATGTATGTTGTTTTCTTTTACTGTAATGTATTGCATTAATGTTATTAACGTATTACGTCCTCAAGTGTAGATAGGTTTTTTTTGTGTATAGTTAGAGGCTTGCTAGAAGCCTGGGTATGAGTCAGCCTAGGAGTGGGTCAGGGAGGTTACTTGAGTTTAAGGCTGAAAGGCTCTACAGGTCAGTTCTCTGATACCTCCTCCTGCTCTAAAAACTTGGAGAAGTTTCTAGAAGCCAATGGGCGGGGGTGAGGAGGGGCTGATCTGCATACATAGGGGAATCTGTCCAATCCCCAGGCAGGAGGCCTGGCATGGTGACTTATCAAGCCCCTAAATATGAGAAAGCCTAGTCAGCTGGGTAGTCAGGTGGAAGATGGAGTTTGGAAGTGCTGCTGGTGTGGAGCCTGAAAGGGGGCCCCAGAGGAGGGAGGTCTGCCTGCAGGCTGGAAGATGGAGGGGAGGACCTCCACTGCCCCAGTCTACCAGGGAAAGGCAGCCTGTCAGCAGGGAAGGAGCCAGCCCAGCGTAAAGGCCTGAAAGCAGCTTCAACCTTTAAAGCTACAGGAATAGGACAGTTTGAGCACTTCTAAACCCACTAGACCAAAGAAGGGAGAGGGCGTTCAGGTGCAATATCCAACTAGTTCTCCCTGGGACTGCATTACTTGTGTATTTCAGAATCCTTTGCCCTGGGATACTCTAAAGACAACCAGGTAGATGAGGAGATTTTCATCTGGGGTCTGAAGAGGTTAATTTAAGGGGACCAAGTGCTCCTTGCAAAGACTGTATGCTGATTCTTCAGAAGATAAGAGCCACATCTGAAGTAGTAAATAGCCTAGGATCTGTTCATTTCGTAATTTTGCTGGATTCTTGCCCTTTTTGTGCCAAAGTATTTGTCTTCCAGGTTTTTCCAGTTCCATTTGGCATTCCATATACCCCTAGAAACTATCCAAGTTGTTAACCCCTAAGAAAACAACAAAAAACAACCTCATGGACTGTTTACTGACTGTGGATGAAAGTGTGGAAAAAGCGTGTTGCCTAGCTGTGAGTTTGAGTTTTATTATATGTGCCTTTTATATATTTGATATAACTGTTTTAATTTCTTGATTTTAGAGATTTCAAGTAATTTTTTTCCTATTAGTAGGAGGTTTTAATTTAATTTTATTTTATTTTTATTTTACATTTTATTAGCCTCACCGATAACATTAGGAAGTGGTATCTTCAGTTATGGACTCGTAGCCGGTACACTTAATAGAAAGTGAGTCATGAGGGTGGGAGGAGTGTGGGCAGGGTATATTTTGCAGGCAGGGACCGGAGGTTGCTCTCTGTGAGGATGCCCTGGAGGAGCGACGAAATGCGCCAATGTAATTTCCAGTTCTGGCAAGGTCTTTGTGACATCACGTCTAGTGAGTGGAGCGCACGCTATCAGCGTTGGTCAGGAGCCATTTTTGATGTTCAGCGTTGTACTGTTGCGGGCCACGGAGCATATACCATTTTAAAGCTGATTTACTGTTTACAATATGTGAGTGCAATATGAACTTTGGTTTTAATAAAGGAGTGTTACAGTATTACGCTATCAGCGTCCCCTCTTTTGCTTTTCTTCTGCCTGCATGAGAATTGTTGAAAGTATTGAGGAAGATTACTCTTATTCCATTCCGAATCCTGGATTTTCCTGGGAACACATCTCACCAGCTAAAGCCTTGTTGACTTTTAAGCCCTATAAGCTAAGAGTCCATCGATCTGGTGAGTGTGAAGTATATTGGAAAGTGATCACGGAGCACTGTGTGGTGATATCATTTTAAGAACACATTTGTTTTGGCAAAGATTCCCTTGATTTGAGCACTTAATTACCATTTTTGGGACAGTGGACGTTATCACAAAAAAATGTTTTGTATTTATTATATAATTTTTATGTGTTATTGATTATATTAATTTGTCATGGTGTTTTTCACCCTGTAAACAGCAGCATTAATTGTCACTTATTGAGTTTACTGATTTGTCACATATGCGTGGGTTATTTATTGTTTTTGATTTAAGCACCACCTGCAGGCTAGAATTACTCCAGATATTGATATTTGGCCTCCTCCAAGCAGGCTTCCTCCTCCTAGCTGCATGACCAGTCCTCCAAAGACATTTCTCTTCACTGTTCCCCGGTCACAGGCTTTCCGAACTTCCTGTACACGCAGGAGTGCTGACGGCTACAAGAGCAGTAAATATTGTAAGTATTACTGCTTCCAATCTCCCTAGACCCATGGGGGTTTATTTACTAAAGCTGGAGAGTCCAAAATCAGACT